AAGTTCAAATCTGTATCAAATATAAATATTGTAATCATTTCTTATAAATACGATTTACTAATGTAATTTTTGCAAGATATTAAAGATCATAATGACAAAAAAACTAAATTTATTAAAAATAATAGGCTTTATGTTTCTTAAACTACCTACATTTGTCAAAGTACTTATGAATTTTCGAAAATATTCCTCCACTAGTTTTATTGTTGGAATGAAATATAGCAAGACTTGCATTGCCTACTAAGAAAGTTAGTAGACGGTAGTCATCGGGTTAATAAGTAGCTTGAAGGTAAAAATGTATTACTTTATATTAACCAAACCAACAAAATATAGCATGGATAACTTAAGATCAATACCCGATGGATTCAGTTTTCCCTCTCGCAGTTTTACCAGGGATTAGTAGGGAAGATGATGTGTTATTGGATGTTTAATTAATCTTTAGTACATTGTTTTAGGCATATTAGGTCACCAAATCTTGATGGCTATAAGGGATTCATACAACGTTTGTATGTGTATTATGTTTTCTTTTACTGTTATGTTACACGTTTAACAGCTAAAAAATTAGGTTTGTAAATACAGAATTTTCGAACACAATGAACAGAAGTAAAATACGCATATTCTATGAGGTGGTGTAAACATATCTATCTATCTGTATATATATTGCAGACACAGTTTCTTCGGTAGTTGAAGATGATTATTCATTTTGTATGCGAACCCACAGTACGAAATAACTTTTTTTTATGCGAATGTCAGTCCATGAAACTAAACAATGTGTTGAACGTATCGATTTTTCGTTTTGCTTTTCGTTGCATGGCTGTACACTTGGTTACATGATAAAACACCTTCCTCAGTTCTTTGTTACCATCACTACGACACATGCGCTAGGATATCTCATTCAACCACTCCCAGCTTTCCAAGAAAATAAGCGTCTCTGACGAAACGATTTACTCACCACTAAAAAAGATGAGGAGATCTGCTGAACATCCCCATATGAGTAAATGTAGCTAACCCATGCAGAATTGTTTCAATAAGACCAATACTCCTGCGCTGCATCTACAGTATTTGACGTCAGCCACACCAGTTTCTACCTCTCTGCTAGAAAAGACGCCGGACACATTTGATCACTTTTAGAAAATAGGGGTGCCATAGTCAGCTGTTCCAGAATCCTTTGTCAAAACTTAAAGCTTTGGTAAGGTAGTTCTAGTGTTTAGTTTAGAAAAAAAATCAGCATTTACGGTATAATATAATGGGCTAAACGTATTTTATTTTAGCACTACGTTCATAGTTCGTTCTATGTCTTAAAATATATTTGTCAGCCTGAAAGTTTAAAGTACTGTATTATTGTTTAGAATAGTAATATTACTAATAAGCCAGTGCACAAAAAATTGTATTTGGTAGAACATTAAAATTTATAGCTATTCCTGGTGTTACATTAAAGTTCATTATGGTCGCTAAACTTAATTTATTTTATAGTTTTTAAGAAAACAAAAGTCCGGCAGTTTACAGTAATACTTGGTAATATTTTGTGAAAACAGAAAAGGGATACAGTCACCACATTGAATATAATTTGTATTTGAATTTACGAGACTTAAGGGTCAGTTAAATGTTTTTATACGAAGACTACTAAACGTATTAGGTAAAATTTCCTTATAATTTATAACAACATTATTGATGTTTTGTATTATAAACTATTTTATGAAATAAACGAGTAATTTGTATAGGGATTTGTGGAACAATAAAGTTACAAAGAGAGAAAATCCGAAATAATTTTTGTTTAATTTTTCAAATCAACCTTCCAAGCTATTGTAAATACAGATATTCAGAATAAATTTCCTTTCATTGTAGAAGCATCTGTGTGTGTTAAGTCAAAATATATGTATATAAACATATGCTATGACGGCATAGTGTAAAAGATTAGCAAAGATTTCCAGTTCGTGCATAATGGAACAGTTGTTATTTCTTACACCAGAAGCTGTGGTTACTTGCTCAACAGAGAATTTGAGAATTTTTAATTATTAGTTTTGCCCTTTAAAACTTTACTGTCTTTAGTGATTAGCAGCAATTGTATTCTATGAAAGTGGCTCAACTAGAATACGTTATTTCCAGACTGATTATGTTTCTACTTTTCACTGCCACTTGCTTACTTTGTACCTGTAATGTATCTAATTTTCAGATTGACTGTATCTTCTTTTTAATTGACCATTTCTTGATAGAGTATCTAATCTTGACTATAAATTCGACCTCTCACAGACCAATTGCTATATATATATAGTACCTTATTTTCAATCTGTCATTGACTAGTTGTTATATGCACACACACACACACACAGATACATACGTATGCATATATACCAATATATATTTTATATATCATGCGTACGGTAGTACCTTAAGTAGGAATGGCGTGGATGCACAATAAATGTAATACAAACTATTTATTCGTATACAGCTTTAACAACCAAATAATAAATCTTCAAAGTATTTGAGAGACACCCTTAAGTGATAAACAAATTACATACAAAATTACAAATCATAGAACCACTTAATAAAGTCAGCAGATTAGATACAAAAAATTCTCAATCTCACCCACTGACGTTGTTCAACGCTTCTAGCTGTGTAACAAACAGACTTACCATAGTTATAAGTGTAGCAAATAGAACAATAGCACAGGGACATGCGAGAAGTAGTGAATATTATATATAACAGATTATGCTTGTAGCAGCTATGGTCGTCTGGGGATAGGCTTGGTAAGCTGGAAGCTTTCTAACTCTAAGACTTCGTGGTTACGCACAGTAATTGCTGAATTTTGGGGTTAAGTATGGTTTCTACATTCTGTCAAAGTGGTTTTAAACTTCTGCACATTATTGTATATGTGTGTATGTATGTATGTATGTGTGTATACACAGACACACATTATTAAAGATATGTTTCCCATACATTTAGCGCCTTTTGTTTAACATATGTATGATATATATATATATTATTGAGAGCTGCCTTCCTTACATTCAATGGCCATATGTGTTTTTAGTCACAATATTTTGAACTGTTTTAAGTATCTATAATACCGTATGCTTGTTGGTGGATGTGGATGTATATATATATATATATAAACAAACACACACACACACACACACACACACACACACACACACACACACACTGTTAGCTCTATTATTCTAGTGTGTGGAAATACTTGATCTTTTTTTTTGGCAATGACGTGAAGAAACAGTAGAATTAATTTTGAATTGGTTTTATTAATATTTAATATACAGGAATTTATTTTATTATTTGTAACATACATGTGTGTGTGTGTGTGTAAGTTTACGTTGATATACTCCGTTTAAAATGTTTGTATGTATGTATATTCGACATTTACATTTAGTCTTGTAAGACTGTGTAAGGTCTATTCTTTAAATTTCACCATCCTCTCTATCTGAAGTTGAGTGTATTATTCGTGTAATACATATCTTAATAAAACTTACTTTCCTCATAAAACAAGTAGTTAAAGGTTGGTAATTCATCATAGTAAGTGTAAGTAACTTCAGCTAACTACATTAGCCATCTGAGCAGTGGGGCTCGGGCGTGACCTATTGGTTGGTGTATCGGACTACGAATCGGTAGGTCCAAAGTTCAGTATGCTGCTGAATACTCTCTGTATTTTCAGCGTTATAATCAGGACTATCAGTCCCTCTATTCGGTTAAGAATAGCCGTGTAGGCGGTGGGTATTGCTGACTAGTCGATCTACATTTGGTCAGCAGTTCCAAATCGGAGATGGCTATATGGCTGAACTTTTGGTCTCATAGGTTAGTTCATGTGTCTCACAAAGTGTCATTATAGTTAAAGACGCCTTATTTCTTCTGAGGTATGCACAATTAGTTTGAAATGGTGGCGTCGGCAATAAACTGAAGAGGACAAAGTTTTTATCTCTACTAATACGAGTTTTGATAGTAGTGTGGATAAAACTAGTTTCACTTGATGTGTTTTTTGAAGGCTAGTTAACAGAAGCTACGCAGCACTTATGCATTTTATCTTTAGTTGTTGAGTGTATGCTAGTCTGATTAATTCATGTAAGACATACACACGATTTATTCAATTAAAAGTAACCAACTTTGATATAAATGTGTTTAATTACAAATATAACATTGGCTATGCCTTTAGTCAAGTTTCTCAAACATTAAATTAGAAAAGTGGACGTAGAAAACAAATCAAACAATAGATGTTTTAGTTTCAATTATTAAGAAAACGTATATTTTTATTTTTTATTGGGAATCTAGAGTCAAATTATTCTGAGTTTGTTTTTATGTCATAAACAGTTGTCTACCCGGATAAATATGCAAAAGCAATGCAGTTACGTATTTTTTTCGGTATTGCAATATGTGTTTCACTTTTAATTTATAGTCAAACTATTTTATTGAGAACATAAACCAAAACTATATATATCGGAACTTGAACACGTATGTAGTAGTTTGTAGTCAGTTCTTTGTAATTCTAATATATTTTACAGTTAAGGGTTGTTAATGTCACATCACGTATTTAGTCATTGCTGAAAGTTGTTACTTTTTCTAATTGCCATAAATGTTTTTTTTGTTTTTTTTTCAGAGGAAAGCTTTTAACATAAAAGAAACAACAACTGAAACATTTTGTATACTTTGTTTTGGTTTCATCACATGATGGGAAATCCGAAATGTTTCTCTGGCTATGTTCTTCTGCTGATCGAAACTATCAACAGCTTCTGCCTTCTACGTTGTGTAGAATTAGATACCTAAAATTGGTTATTTTGTGGGCTTGAGATGTTTGTGAACTTTTCTTTGCCATTAATTAGTGTTACATGTATTTAGTTACCATTCCTCTTATGGTGTCATAATTTCAAACTGTGTCACTGATACTGATTCAAGATGACAGTTACTTACTCGCTGAACGTGTCCAAAGCTCGACTTTTGGGTTTTGCTAAACTTTTGTTGAGATGGAGAGGAAGTATTTACAAGCTGTTGTACAGAGAGATGGCTATCTTCTGTGGTCTCTACTACAGTCTTACTGCACTGTACCGCTACATTTTATCAGAAAACCAGAGAATGTAAGTAATCTTGTTTGTTTTTACATGTATGATTTGATGAGGAGTTGAGATCTTTGAAAGATAACTTCTTGTGGTCACTTACATGTTTATATTGTTCTGTCTGAGTTTTAATGTATAATTTTTAGCATTTTAGTATTTCGTTTGCAAATGCACCTGGGATTTTCTTTAATTGTATGTCAAAATTAATTTTTAACAAACTTAACACAGAGATACTAGTTTAAATTCAGAAATGTGCCTTTGTTATATCTGAAATAAAAGAAAACGTTTTTGGTGTTCTTAAATATCATGTAGCAGAATTTTCTATTATTCTTAGCATGCCGTACCAGTTGAAACGGTTAGGAAGAAACGAAACAGAATAGAGCCCCTTTTCATTCTTTGTATATTTTTATCTTGACTGTTTGAACTATCCAATTCGTCTTACTTCCCAAAGAGTAACAACAGATATTTTTATATTTTAATAAAAATATGTAACGAGAAAACATTTTTAATTACCTTGATCATGTATCTGTAGAAGGAATTTATGCACTTAGCCTAATAGACTGAAATTCTAACTTGTTTGTACACTTTTAACTGATGCTTTCTTTTACGAAAGATGAGTGTTCCTTGTTGATGATATTCAGTGGTTTAGAAACTCGGTGTTTTATTGTTATTAGTTGCATAAAAATGACACGCATATGAGACAGATAGAAATATTAAAATACACATTTATGTATATAGACTATGATACCGGTACATACAGGCATATCAAAGTGTGATGACAAGACAGAGAATATGCTTAGGATGTTCTAATACATTATGCAATAAAAGTCTACATATCAAATTCATATGGTTCTTTAACAACTACTGCTGAACAATTATATTGAGAATTTATTGTACATGAAGACAGCTATGGTTTGTTGTGTTAGGGAATACTTTGAATGCTATTTTTCTCATCAATATAACACATTTTTCCTTTTGGTGAGCGATACTGATGTAATACTAATAATCTTGATTCGATAAGTCCGTTCAAAAACTGTTTTCATATGTTGCAAAGGAAATGACAGCATTGGTAGTTTATTACATAACTTTCGACTCGTTTTGTGTCAGTATATGTACTATTAAAAACGATAAGAAACATGCTCACCAGTAGGAACCTACAGGGATTTTCTCAATTCTGAAATTTATTAAATAATCTTATTTTGGGATTTACTATAGATAGGTAAGACTAATAATACGATGACTGCTTTGTTGTTGAAAAATTGTAACAAATGGGGAACATTGTTAATGTTTAGTAAGCAGAATATAGAGATGTCAATATTTTTTCCAATAATTTAAAAATTTTACATGACCGCACAAAGAAATTTCAAGTTATAAAACCGAGAGAATAATAATTCATTTTTTGCTTTGCTTAACCATTTCTGTAGATATGCACATTGGAAATTGTTGGTGTTGGGTTGTTTAATGTGAGCGTTTTACTCACTTAATATGGTTAAAAAGAATGTTATTTAAAGTTTTTACGTAATTTTTACATAAATCTACGTGTCTATAAAACATTGGATAAATATGAGATTTTACAATTTGAACTCTATCGCAAGAGCATATATATATATCAAATAAACCATTATATTGGTACAACTAACTAACTTGGACGAAAATATATTGACATTGCTGTATATATATATATATATTATAAACATATTTGTAACATAGGTTATATATGTATATATCAAATGAAACTTTTTCAGTGTTTTTGAGAAGTTGGCTATCTACTGCGAAGCCTTTACCAACCTAATTCCACTATCTTTCGTGCTGGGTTTCTACGTGTCTATAGTTGTGTCACGTTGGTGGCAGCAGTTTATGTCTCTTCCATGGCCAGACAAGTAAGCAATTGGTAACAATTACGCAAGTTGATAATAATACTAAAGTATACCATAGTAGGTCTGTGGTAGTCCCTAATATATCTTAATAGATCTGTATTAATCCAGATTCGTTGTATTAAAAGTACATTACTGCAAAGCCACAGTTATCCAAAGTGTATATCGTAGAAGAGCAGTGTTAAAACCATGAATATCTTCATTCATGTTCGAGTGTTTTCACTTATTAAGATTTTTGAAAAGTAAAGACTTTTCGGCATACAATGCCTTCATGTTTATATTTTGACTATATATTGATATACTACAGCTATATTTAACGTGGAACGTGAACGATTTTTATATACGTTTATTAAGTCTAAGCTCTTTTGCAATAATAAAGCCTACGATAAAAAGATTTTGTAACACTGTAAAGAAAAGATATATACAATGATTAAATAAAACTTTTAAAATGAACCTTTAATGTGTTTCAAGGTCTCTTAGATACCAGTGATGCATGTTAGTCATTCATAGTTTTTACTTTTTGCAGGCCTTGTATGCTTATATCAGCGTATGTTCATGGGAGAGACGAAAGAGGGCGAATAATTCGTCGTACACTCGCTCGTTATTTAAGTTTGCTGTCTGTACTCTCATTTCAAGCTGTAAGCACTGCTGTGAAGAAAAGATTTCCTACTTTGGACCATTTAGAAGAAGCAGGTACTTGACCAGCCAAAACCATTTTGGTATTGATCTTGAGTGGCAGGCTGTTTGTTTCAATCAAGCTACATTTTCTGAAGTAGATTACACTTTTAGTTCTCACACTGGCAGAATGTAACGTGAGATATTGGTTACAAACCAGTTTGATTTTGTGTAATTCACTCAGTGGATGTTTTCTAACCTTAACCATGGGAACTTATTATTAATATTTAATATTTCGAAGTATCAACTAATTTCATTACTTGTGTAGTATAACAATAGTGTCATAGACAATTGCTACCAGTCAAGCTGCTACCCACGAAGATAAAACATTTTAAAAAATAAATTTGTATGTGATATTTCCTCTTTAATAATGTAAAATATCCTTAATTTATTTAGTGTCTAGGGAAATATTTTGCAACACAAGGTATACTGTAACACTTTTAACTTTATATTAGGCTTGATGACAAAAGAAGAACGTACTGTGTATGAAGAAATTCCAATGATACATGGAAAATGGTGGGTTCCTGCTCAGTGGTTCACAGCCCTCACAATGCGAGCTAGAAAAGAGGGTCGAATAAAAGATGACATTCTTCTGAGCAACCTGTTGAATGTAAGCTTTATATCTATGATAACCTTAAAAACATCCTTAAACTTAAAAAAATATATACTTGTTTAGAATGGAATATTAAAACCCTGAAGACATGTTTCATCATTTTATTTCATAAACTTGTGATTCCAGTTCCATTTTGGAAATCATTTCTAGTCTAATTTATCATTCACAAACATTGTTTTCAAAATTTCTCTCTCTCTCTCTCTCTCTCTCACACACACACACACACACACACACACACACACACACACACACACACACACACACACACACACACACACACTTCAGATTTTTTTAAAAAATTAAAATTAAAAGTGATGTTTTATGTTGTAAAAACAATATGACATGACAGTCTTTGACTTTGCAAGTACTTATCTTATTCGGTACTAAAGTTTAAACATTTTATTAAAATATCTTGTTGAAAATTACAACTATGGTATGCCATGTAGAACTCACTTTTTTATCAGTACTTGCTGTCCAGATTCTCATTGATATAAACATCATATTCATAGATTAGGAATTTGATTCATAGCATCTTTAACATTGTTTGCTGTCCAGATTCTCGATCATAGTTATAGGTTAGGTGAACTTGATTGGAGTCAAAGCACCCTTAACAGTACTTGTGGTCCAGATTCTCATTGATATCGTTAGTGATAATATGTATAGATTAGGTGAATTTGATGGATTCAAAGCATCCTTAACAGTACTTTTAATCCATTTAAATGAAATCCAAAAAAAAACTACTTGTTCAGGTAAGAACAAGTTTTGTATAATTATTCGTTTTTTGTGACATACCAGTTTTCAGTTTTGTAACTTGTGCCCACTATTTCACCTGTACTACTTTTTTCACTGAAAAGGTCATGTTTCAAACCTGTATTTTATAAGTGATAGAAGAAGTGTCCTTGTATCATTCTAAGAATACTTGTTGTAGGAACAGGTTTTGTAACATATATTTTTTTATGCAAAAATACAAACTTTTCATAAGGGAACATGCTGTGTTTGAAACGTATATTATGAAACTTGAGGCATTCTTGTCTGAAAGATAAAATTTATTATATTAATTATTCCTCTTTCCAGTTTTAATAAAGAAGAATTACTCTTGATTGCCAGCTATTAAGTACAGCATTGAACTTGTTAATTCTTATTTAGTATTTTCATTAGAAGAAAACTAAAATTATGACATATAGCTACTGATGCAAGGCAGAGAAAGGTATTGTTACGTCTCTGTATGTTTGTTTGTTAATTCTTCTATGATACAAGTCCTTCCTTAAATAAAACTTGTTTATTCTTCCTCAATATAACTTTGTAATACTCTTAATTTTCACAGTTACACACTATAGTTCACAACAATTCACTCACTTTCTACCACACTTAGACTTAATTGTCCATCTCCGCCAACTATAGTTCCAATCTCCGTATCTGCTATCCTCGGTTACCGCCGACCGTAATCGCTGTCCTTGGTTCCCCACTCTTTCTGTTTCTCTCTGCCCTTGCTTCGTCTGTCTCTCTCACTGTCTAGCACACTTATATACGATAATACCACCTGTTCTAGAAGCTTCTAGACTCTCAACACGTGCTACCAGCGTCACTTGACTTCCGCTGTCGTAACACACTAGCGAATCTTCTAGAATACTCGTCGCATGACCCCCACTGTCATAACACACTAGCGAATCTTCT